TTTCAAAGTCTGAGTGCATTGATTCCGATTCTCGACAAATTGTTAATGATTGATTACCTTGAGAATAAAGGGCGTGGCTGCATTGGGACCTCTGCTGGAGAAATCATTCGCTATAGGCGCTGGTTTGGCGCCTAAAACTGTCTTAGTTGGCGTGATTTTAGTGGCCGGAATAACAGCGGCGTACAACAAAAGGGTTCCCATCGGCTTCACTATTTCCTAGGATGACACCAATTCCTCCGGCTCTTTTCACCTCAATGGCTCTATCTAAGTCGTCTCCGCTTCCTGTGAAGCACAATACAATTTTTCCCCTAACTTTTTGGGGACAAAGGGAACCTTCTAAACATAGCCTGCAGAAAAACTCGAGCAAATACAACTCGGTAAGTAATATCTGGTTATGCAAAGACTATAAACTTGAAGAGTCTGATTATAATGCTTCTACTTATCTAGAAAGAAGACGAACATAAGAAATAAAATTATTGTGTGAGATAGCTAACTATTAGAGGGTCCACACCACTAGACATATTGTGTGAACAAAAATGCATATTTACATTATTAAATGTTATGTTTTTATTTGTGTGTTGGTTTTAGTGTATGACATTTTTCTAACAAAAGATGAGAAAGAGGCTTAACCTGGATTCGTTTTTCGGCACGCCAGAGTTGATTACTTGATATGCAGTAACTAATCGGTAAAACTTGTCTTTTAATGTATAATTAGTCAGTGACTCGCCCTGAAACGCCAACGAAAGGAAATAAGAATATCTTGGTAAATTAAGTTATAATGTACATATGACACTTGGTATGTTTAAGTTATATATTCCATAAATTTTTACATGGCAACAAAATTTTCAACTTAGAACATATTTTTATTGGAAAAATTGCACCATTCGTCCACTAATTATATCCGAGTTGCACTTTCGTCATTTAATTATTATTTTTCCGTCATGATTAGAAAACCCAAATTGAAAAATTTGTTAACAGTTAGACCAATTTTTAACTCTTAAAAATTGGAATAATTTTTTTTTCTTTTAAAGAAAATGATCAACTTAGCGGACTAATTTTCAAATTCGACTGAAATCAAAATAAGCATAATTTGACTCGCTAAAAGATTACCGAGACAGTCAACCCAGTCCCGAGCACAATGTCCGACGAAAACTTCCCATCAATGATGCTTGACCCCATGGTGATCAGCCACGGGGCAGTGTTAATCGCGGTGGCCGGCTTGGGACCATCATTCCCCGCGCTGGCCGCCACGACAACGTTCGCCTTGGCTGCATAGAGGGCGACGACCGAGACGAGGTCCTGATTGAGCGGCGTGGGGTGATTCGAGTATCCGTACGATATGCTCAGGATGTGGATGGCGTCGTCGACGGCGGCGAGGCTATCCGCTGGCACGATTACAGTGTCGTATTCACCGATCTTCCATATAACCTTGTAGATGGCGAGTCGGATGAGGGGGGCCCCGCCAGTGGCAGTTCCTCGGGCGAACCCATAGGGCGACGAGACGTTGTCGACCTGACGCCCGACAACTATGGATGACGTCAAACTCCCGTGTGCTAACATGTCGCGGGCTGAACGGGATTCAAACATTCGGTTCACCGGGCCGTATTCTGCTTCGAAGCCCTTGAGGTAGTACCGGGCACCGATGATCTTCCTAATCGTGAGAATCGATTTGATTTATGAGTAACAGATTTTGTATAGAAAGGTTGAAGACTATATAACAGTATAATAATACTACTTAGACGTAATCTATTAATGTATAAAGAGATAATGATATTTACTTGAAATAATAACTAAAAATCAGTGAAAAAATAACATTTGGTTTCCCGCCTAAAAATTTAGATTTACTAAATTTGGTAATTTTTTTTTTTTGCCAAATTTTGAAAAATCTCGCCTAAATTAATGTAATTAATGTACTGAATCATTTTGGTCAAATATTGTGTATATTACCTTTATTAGTTGCATGATTTAAATTTGGTATACACTATATTGACAAAACTTACAGCTATTACCTTTAGAAAAATGCTATAAGTACATAATAAATGTAAATAGAGGTGTACACAACACTCACATGGAGTGGGGTCCACTTGATTTTTTATTTGGGTAATGCTATAAGTACATAATAGTGTACATAAAGGTGTACATAACACTCACATTAAGTGGGGTCCTACCAAAAATAAAATATCAAATGGACACAGGACACTACTCCATGTGAGTGTTATGTACACCTCTATGCACATTTATTATGTACATGTAGTATTTTTCTTTTTATTTTTAGTAGGTCCCACTCAATGTGAGTGTTATGTGCACCCCTATGTACTATATTATGTACGTATAACATTTCTACCTTTATTAGTTGCATGGTTTAAATATGGTATATAATATATTGAAAAAAAATAAAAATATTTTTATTTAAAATAAAAAATAAAAAAAATAATTATTCATAATTTACGCCTCAATATTAATTTGGACGTAAACGAAATAGTCAATTATTTATATTTTAATAAATTACTAAATAACTTACGGGTCACTATTAACTTGGACGTAAACGAAATAGTCAATTATTTATAATTAAATAAATTATTCAACTACTTAATTTTTTTTATTTGAATAGTTTATACAAAAAAAAAATTATTTTAACTAATGAAACAATATAAATTTTATATTTATAATTATTATTCACATATGTTGTTAAATATATGATAAAATTTTACCAAAATNGATGCGTATGTTAAATGATTGCTGATTTTAAAAATAACAACAAACAACCCTAAAAATTGAGTTATGCTTCTTTTTGCACACTACATATTCAAAATACTTATTTTTCACCTTAGATTGTGCAAAACCAGATCACATAATTGATCGCATAATGATCATACAATTGATACCTTGCAGGGTGAAAATAGATATTTTCAGTAAAAACAATGTGACGCTCATGTTATTATTTTGTTTATTTAGAGCATTCAGGATTTACCTGTTACAAGTTGAAGAGTTGAAATCATCCCCAAGTTGACAAACTCCTTTCCAGGAATTTGGTACGACTCCCATCCCATCACCACTGAAGCTCTGTGACTCGGGCTAGATGCCTAATCAAACCATAAATTTCCAATTAAAATCATACAGGGGCATTCTTAAATTAAAATTTTGCCACATTCAAATATCCAATTAAATATGGGAAAATCTACCATTTTCTTCAGTAAAAATACATCAGAGGTGGATAAAGGTAGAATCTGCTCAATGTTGCCAGGTATTCAGAGGCACAACTCTACCAGGTATTTAGGGCTTCAATTGGGTTTGGGAAAATAAAAAAAAAGAAGCTTTTGCATATATATTAAATACAGTGAGGAAAAGAATTTTGAGTTGGAAGAATAAATAATTGTCAAAAGCTGGTAAGGAAGTTTTGATTAGGGCTGTGTTGAATGCTATGCCAGTCTTTGCAGTGTCTTGTTTTGCAGTGTCTTTTCACACAAGAGTATGCAAAGAGATTTCTCAGATATGTGGGCAATTCTGGTGGAGTAAAGGGGCTGATTTTCACATGGGAATACATTGGGTGAGTTGGAATAAGTTGACTATGGCCAAGAAGCACGGGGGCTTGGGTTTCCAGGATATACAGTTATGCAACATGGCCCTCATAGCAAAACAATTGTGGAAATTACTGGCAGAACCTGATAGATTGGTTAGTAGAGTACTTAAAGCTAAATATTTTCCTAACTCTACTTTGTTTGAAGCACAGAGAACACAAAATTCTTCTTGGATGTGGGCCAGCTGGCTTTCAGTATTAAAGGAGTGTAAGAAGTGGATGAGAATTGAAATCAGAACAGGCAGGGATGCTCAAATTTGGGATCAACATTGGTGTAATGCCCCGTTTGATTTATAGAATTTTGAGGATTAATTATTATTATTATTATTATTATCAATATCTAATTATTATTATTATTATTATTATTTATTAAATGCTATAAATTATTAATTGTCTAATATGATTTATTTGTCAACTGTTTAATTGTCTAAGTGTTATTAATTTATTAAAAAGGTGTATTGGTATTTTACTAATATTATTATTATTTTCTAAAACTTTAAATTGTGTATCATCAATATATATTTTATTTTGGTTTGTTTATTTAAGTGTGCGAGTTTATTTATCGAGCCCGAGGAATCTGTATTATCTCAACGTAGTCGGGCCCGAGAGCCGATACGTTTTATTTAACCGAAACCCGCGAGCCCGATAACCGTCGGCCCAACTCGTTAACCCGACCCAAACCGTGAGAGTGTGAGTTTCTTTTTGATCAAGATTCTAAACCTATTTATGTGTTATATATATATACGTATCTCCTTTCTCTCTTCACGCACGATCAGATTTCTTAAACCCTCCCGCAGCTTCTCCTTCGGGCGTGAACTCACAGAGAAAAGATTTTCTTTTTGTTTCGTCTTCAACCCTTCTTCCCTGCAGCAGAGAAGAAAAATCTCTTGCCTTCTCTCACCATCATCCCCTGCGCCTTCATCTTCTCGCGAAATCCAGACGCCGGCGGCCTTCTTCCACCACGAGCCAACCACCGCTGTAAGCCGATGTCTACCCACATGTTCGCGACGTCTACCTTTAATTTTACGTCTCGTTTATGTTGTGTGCTTGATTGTCGTATATGTATATTGAATTCATGAGAATATGGCTATGTGATTTTATTTGTGTTCATGAGGTTATTGTTGTGTCGAATATGAAATTTTGTGTTGACGAGCCTTTCGATTTTGAAGAATCGAATGAGGCCTCGTCAACTCGTGAATTTGTCGTTGTGGGCTGGAACTTACGTCGTCCATAGTCTTATGGCGAAGACTTCGGACGGATTTGTCGTAAAACGAGTCGGTTATGAATTGTTGAAATTGTTTAATTGCTGTTTTGATATATAAATTATGATAAATTCTGTGATGATCGTATCAATGTGAAATTTTGTGTGCTTGACATTCTGCTGGAAATACATGTTGTGTAAAAATTTCAGATTTAAATAATAAGTTTAGCTATTTTTAATAATTGTTTGAAAATCTGAGCAGGATATTGTAAAATGCATATTAAATTCCTTTGTGCCTCAAAAATTATGAAATTTGAGTATGTTGTCTTCCTGTATGTTTTATAGGTCTTGTAAATGTTTTGGAATTTTTGGACTTTGTTTGCTATATTTAAAAATTGTTTATTGTATTCTGCAGCTTCATAATATAATTTTAGTAAATTGAATTCTTGCTGGAAAATTCTGAAACTTTACTGAGATGCTTATTTTATGTAATTATGTATGCTAATATGAAAATTTTTGGAGTTCATTTCGGTTCGATTTTGATTTAAATTTGATAAACTGCTGAATCTTGTTTGAATTTTTAAAAATAGCAGAAGTTAATGTTAAGGGCTGAGATTTTTATATGTTGTTTATATCATGCTGTAGTATGTTGTGTAAAATTTTCAAGTCCTGAATCATTCATTAAGCTTGAGTATAAATTCATGGCTCGGTTTTGCTGATATCTTGTGGGAATTTTATAAAATAGTGTACTTGGGATTTGAAGCTGAAAATTTGTGTATTTTCTTAACTCTGGAAGGTGAAATTTTGGTTAAAATTTTAGGGTTAAATTCGAATCATAACATGGTCAACTTATTTTTGTGGTTAAAATCTAGTATTTTAGATACATAGCTTTTGGAAATAAAAACTGTGAATCATCTCGTTTTCTGTTTCCTTGAATGTTGGCCTTGCCGATCTGTGCCTTGGATTATGTGAACTCCCATGTGTAATTGGTTGAGTCTAGAGGTCAAGTCTAAGTGTTCCAACGTCCACAGGACTTCACGAACAACTTAGTTGAATCAAGTTCGACTAAGTATGATTGTGATTTTCAGTCTAAGTCAGAATAGATGTTGATTATAGCATCTGAACTTAATGTAGGTGTTTGACGAGCCGAGCTCGCAGCCTAATCGTGCTTTCGTGATTATCTCCTATTTGCGTCTAGGTGGGTTTTATTTAAAATTTGCTATGCTGTAAATGTTATAAACGTATAACTTGTGGGTTTAATTCGAAAAATTGCTATGCCTTAAATATTATTATTGTTTTAATTATGGTATGATCAAAGTATGCATGTGGAACCATGTAGCCTTCGATGTGAGCTGTACCGGCCGTCGAACGGTTATCCCCGTAGCTATAGAACGTACCCGATGGGTAGTCTCCTTTATATTATGTTATGTATGGCCTTAAGACCGGGGCTTGGCCACGGCTGGTGATCTCCGCTTTGTAAGACCAATTCGTAGGTCTTGGCCGGGCGGGGTGGATTACTCCTACTGGCTGGGCATCGTTGTAAGACCAACTCGTAGGTTTTGGCATTCGAATCGAGTATCAGCAGTAGTCTATGCGTAGGTGTGCACATGAGAGTTGACTCTGGGATAGGAGATGGAATAAATAATTGATTCGAATACATTCTGCGACCATCCCTTATTGATGATTGATTACTGTTTCATTATTATGAATAATGTTTACTGCATAGTGGTGAGCACTACTTTTTCCAACTGTGCTCATCCCCACCTAAAATTCACGTTTCAGGTTAAGCGAGGCAGGTACGACGGTGGAGTAGAGCGAGTGGTGGTCGGTCTATGAGACCAGTGTTATTATTGTTTATGCTTCCGCGTTATGAACTGATTTATGATTTGAGAAGATTGGATAATATTGAATTTATGACTTATGGATATTATGACTGAATTAATGTTAAAGGAGATGCTCATTGGATACTATGAATATTGTTGGAACCTAGTTTGGGAGATTGATGAATTTTTGGGAATACCCGTTTTGGGAGTTGGAAACGTTGAGAAAATTATTGAGTATTAAAGTTCGTTTTGAAAATGAGTAGCGCCTCAGGTATTTTGAAATAAATTTGAAAAATTTATTCGGATTTTCGGCAAATAAAAGTGGGGCATTACAATTGGATTCCAAACAAGGTAGGCATGGAGGTCCAGCTTTTACCAGGTATTGATAGAGGAATTCAGAAGGTCAGTGACTTATTAAGTAGTGATGGTAGAAGTTGGGATGTAAATAAGGTCAGTAATACTTTTACTTCAGAGGATACTTGGGTGTGGACATTGCAGAAGAAAGGCTTATTCACTGTTAAAAGTACTTATGCTAAACTCATTACCGACAAGTTCCTGCAACAGGATGAACCACAGTCAAGTAAGGAGTTGATGACAGATTTGAAAGTGAGAACAAGAACTTGGAAACTCAAGATTATGGGAAAAATCAAACATTTTATATGGCAGTGTTGCAATTGTCAGTATGAATTTAAGAGCAAGGGGGATTGATGTGGATCAAATATGCAGAGAGGAGGAGGAGACGATTGAACATCTTTTCTTTCATTGCAGAGTTGCAGATACAGTATGAAAATTAGCTCCAATTCAGTGGTTGGGACCACAAGGAACTGAGACATTCAAAGATCGGTGGTGGGGGATATGTCAACTAGACAAGAGCCAAATTTTCGAGGAACGCATTCAACTTTCTACCTATATTTTGTATTGGCTATGGAAGTCGCAGAATCTCTGGTTGTCACGCAGGCCAGCTCACTTCATTGTTCAAGGGGCACTCAAATACTGGGAGGAATTTATTAATATAAATCTGGGAAAATGAGAGCTCCAGTTTGTTTATGATTATGGTGTCAATGTAGGATTTTCAGTTAATTTATGGTGTCAGTGTATGTTGTTGTTATGATACTTAGTTTGTTGTTGATGTTGTGCTCTAGGCCACTGTGAGTGGTGCTCCCAATGTCGGCTGTTCAGATGTACGAACCTATTATTTATGGAATGAGATCTATCTAACGTTTGGAGAAAAAAAATATCCAATTAAACACATTATATATACATAGAGCCATATATATAAAAGTACGCCTATTATATTATTTTGGGTTTTAAAATGTTCACCAATTAATATATATATATATATATATATATATATATATATATATATATATATATATATATATATATATATATATATATATATATATATATTGAACGGGAAAAAACGGAGATTTAATCTTGTAATTGACACCAAATTGATAAATAATCTGGTGATTGCGTTTTACCTGGTGGAAGGACCTAAATTCAGGTTTTTTTAAGGAGATTTTCGTAAAATCAACATAATCACTGGATTATTTATCAATTTGGTATTAGTTACAAACTAAATATCCATTTTTTTACTAAATTGAACTGTGACGAAACACTTGAATTAAATTTCTTGCCCACCGGAAAGTTTAAGAGCTTCATGCCGGGTAAGAAGTGCGGAAAACCCACCGATATTCTTGTAACTATAAATAATAGAAGATTTTGCATCTTCCTCATTTTCTTTCACAGATAACAAATATGAATGGTGTTGATCTTCGATTTCTTCGGCTGCTCTACTCTCATCATGATCACTCAGGAAAACAATGTGTACTGTAAAACAATATCTTTATTACAAATCTCCTTTACATAAGATATGGACACTATAATTAAATATTATATACCTTTATAAAAAAAATGCATTGAAAATAATTAAGAACCTTTTCGTCCCCAATACATTTAGCCAAAAAAGGAAGTAGAAGGATGAGAACAATGAACAAGTTGAAAGTCTCCATAGTTACGATACTGTATGAATGGGATGCTACTCTGAGTATTTATAGGAATTTTCATGTTTTAGACGAAGACTGGTGGGTGTTTGTTATAAATTTTTTCAATTCATACTTAAAATCTAACTCAACTGTAACTCAATTCCACTACCCTCAAGATTATCAATATAATTAAATTAAAAAACGAGAGATAAAATCATTTTTTTATTTATTTTAAATACTTTTAAAAAATATTATAATATTATTTATATTTAAAATGACAATCTTTATTTCTACGATTTAAATGTATATTACAACAACTTTTCTAAATCATATGTAGTGACTATATTGATAATTTTTTTAATTGATTTATAATTTTATTAATTTTCAACTAGTATTAATAATAGTTTGTGTTTTATAATAAATACAAATAAAATTAAAAATTTATTTAAATATTTTTATATATGAGATATGAATATCATGACGAATCTCGTCAAGTGATATTTAATTTGATATATCATATATGAAAATTGATGACAAATACAAAAGTATTAACATTTGAAATAACTATAATTTAAGTTAGTAAAATATTTTACAATTTTTACAGCCCTCATAGGTATGAATAAAATTTAGATCTACATAAATAACTCAAAGCACTAGAAAATAGCTCATCGAAATACGACACACCAGACTTTCAAATATAAAATTACGAAACACCATAATTTTACACAGACTCGGAAACTCTGTAGGGAGATTGTATATAATTTATTTTTTATTTTTTTTTTTGAAATTTTGTATATTGATGTTTTTTGAAATTATCTTTTGGGATTGAAAAATATATTTCATATCTTACACATAAAATAATAAATTAAAGGTCTTATTCATCCACAAACCTCTAATTTACCTCAGAAANTTTCCCGATACAATAAAGGGAGGCCTAAGCTTAACGGACGCTAAAACTGAACGCGACGGGGATAAGCCACCCCAACAAGATCATGTCCAAGCCACCTGCCGACAGACGGTGGTGGACATGAAGATGGTGCAGCCCTAAGGGTACGGATGCCGCAAAAGAAGCCAGATGATCTGCAGTAAAATTTGCTTCCCGAAACACATGATCCAGTTGCACCGACCACTCACGATCCCGTAATTCTCATATGGCCCGAACAAGACTATCATGGATCCCACCCACGTCCTCTCGCTCTATAACCATAGTAATCACGCGCGTGCTAAACGTGCGACTTGCTAGTGGATATGTTTTCAATGGTGAAAAGAAATATTCGTGAAAACATTAATGATTGTTAAATGTGATATAAACGATAATTAGGATTCCATCATGTGCACATGTACAGATATAATATTTTATAATTTTTTGTGAGTGTGTATATAATATTTAGAATAACTGGATAATGAATGTATTACATTTTATGAATTTTATTTTTAGTAAAATAAACGATAAATTATAATTTATTTAACTTACGTACAAATCACTATATTGATTGCAATCGCAGTGAAGTCAAAGAGTGAAAAAGAAAGGCAGAGGAAGTGGAAAAGCTTATTCCATCGATCATGCAGTTAATGCACCAATTTCAAAATTTTGAGTAATTATCATCGATTGATTAGATAAAAAGTCTAAAATTGTTATTATAGCAATTATGATGGATCTAGTCTATTCTATTTTTTTTTTGGTCGGATCTAGTCTATTGTTTATTGTGTTTTTGTGCTTATTTTCATGTGTTTTATGTGCTCGAGTTTAGTATTTTTAGGTTCGTTTTAGAGTCGACCGGTCTATTTTATCGTGTTTCGTGCATTTTTGCTCTCGTATTGTGTTTTTGTGGTTCGGCGTATTTTCCTTGTCTTTTTGGTGTTGATTAGGTCTATTTTGACGAGTTTGGGAAAACGATCCGTTCGAGCCAAACCAACCAACCCGACCCGACCGAACCACCCGAGCCGTCCCGGGCCATGACCGGGTCTGGACCCACGCACTTGCCGCACCCAAGCAGCCCATCAGCCCAGCCCGCACGCCCCGCGCCCGCGAAACGCCCAA